TCCTCGATGCGAATGCTATAGGCCTTTCTGTTCCATCAGACAAAACATGCGAGAGCACTGCCCCAAGACCTACCGGAGATGCATCAGTAGCTAGCATTAACGGTAATGTGGGATCGTAATGCATTAAAACTCTGTCTGAACAAATTTTCCTTTTTTATTTTTTCAAAAGCGATTTGGCAGTTTTTTGACCAACTCCATTTAACATCTTTTTTTGTTAAATTATTTAATGGGATGTGCCAAAGTTGCCAGAATTAGGGCAAAATTTGGCATAAAAATTCACTAATCCCAAAAAGCTTTTGATGTCTTGGACGCCTTTCGGCGTAGGGGCATTAGCAATTGCCGAAATCTTTTCATCCGTTTTATGCAATCCATCGGCATCAATTTTATGCCCTAAAAATTTAATCTCATTTTGAAAAAATTTACTTTTAGTTAAGTTTAATTTTAGGCCGTGCTCCTTGCATTTTTTGAAAAATATTTCCAATGCTTTTAAATGAGACTGATCATCCGGTCCTGTCACTCGAGCATCATCCATAAAAATTTTAATTCCTTCGATCCCCTGAAATAATCCCTCAACATAGCGCTGCCAAATAGCTGGGGCAGCATTTAATCCATACATTAAGCGTTTACAAATATACAACCCCTTATGCGTGTTTATTGTTAATAATCCGTTGGCTCTCCGGATGCACCTTCATTTGTAGATAAGCATGACTGAAATCAAGTTTCGAAAAATTTTTACCTCCATTAAGGCATGAAAATATTTCTTCGAGTTTTGGTAATGGATGCTGTGGCACTTCCAAATTAGGATTCAGAGTCACAGAATAATCAGCACAAAGCCTAATGGAACCATCAGATTTAACAATTGGCACAACTGGTGTTGCCCATTCTGAAGTCTCAACCCTCTCAATGATACCTTCTTTCTCAAGCCGATCAATTTCTGATTCAACTCTATTTTTTAATGCGAAAGGTACCGGTCGTGACCTACAAAATATTGGTTGAGTATTAGGTTTCAAATTTAGTTTTACTTCGTGATTGTTAATTTCACCTAATTTACCGTCAAACATTTTCTTATACTCTTCAAGCAATTTTTTTAAAATTCAATTCACTAGAAGTTTTCAATGTTTTGATGGCATTCCAATCGAGATTGATTTTATACAGCCATTCTCGGCCGAAGATTGTGTCTCAATTTTCCTTCACAATGTATAAATTTAAAACTAATTTCTGACCTTGGTATTCAACTTTAACAGGAACATATCCTAAAGGTACCACCTTATCACCCCTGTAAGTTTTAAAAACTAAATTTGTAGGCTGAATCTTTTTATTGGAAATTTTTCTAAATTTATTTATAGACATTACCGAAACTGTTCCCCCAGTATCAAGTTCCATGCTAACTGGTTTGTTTTCAATTTTAACTTGAACCATTATTGGCGGTCTTTTTGGCTCTTCCTCTCTTAACATGTGCGTTCTGGAGTTAAATCCATAGATGGGGACCTCATTTTTCGAATCATAATCATTATTTGCCTCAACTTTCTTTTGTTTAACCTGTCGGTTTTTCCTAGACAAATAACACGCCTTTTCGATATGTCCAATTTTTTTACAAAAGCGGCATTCACTTGTTGCAAATCTACAGTTGTTTTTATTGTGATTTGCTCCTAAGCAACGCGAACAAGTTTCATTTTTACCTTTATTATTCTTAGCAACAAAGTTTTGTTTCCGCGGTTTGGACTCATTTTTCTTGGTTTTAAGTACCTTCAGTTCAGTTCTACGGAATTTCCTATAATCTCATTTGCACCCTTAACCGCCTTTTCCATCGCCAAGGCTATCTTTAATGTTTTCTCTAAATCGATATCATCTTCCTGAAATAATCGATCTAAGATATTACGATCTCGTAGACCGCTAACGAAAACATCCCTTAACATTGTATTTAGCATATCCTCTTTATATTCACAAGGAATCGCTAACGAGCGTAATTCAGTGACATAACTACTAATTGATTCCCCCTCATGCTGTTTTCTATTAATAAACATGTGCCGACTAGGTATTATTAAAGCTTTAGGATTTAAATGATCCTTAAGAACCTTTTTTAGTTCGGTAAAATTTTTATCTGAAGGATTATCCGGAGAGAGTAAATTTTTCAACAAATTATACAATTTCGCATTCAAGCTTGAGATCAGAACTTTCCCACGTTTTGCCTCTGGAACATTTTGAATGTCCAAAAAAGCCTCAAATCGTTCTATGAACGAATCAAAATTTTCTACCGTTTCATCGAACTTATCAAAAGAAACAGAAATTTTGTCTTGTTTATGTTCCGATTTCTCTTGCAATGCGACCATTAAAGCTTCATTTTGCTTTATTAATTCTTCAATTAACTTCTCCATCCTTTCAAAATAAAAATCAAATAACTTTCCTACCTTTTGCAGTTTTCAGGGAATCCCCTAAATCCAAGTTTCGATTTTGCTACTACTTTTTTTACGCATGTAACCCAGTGCGCCGAGTCGGGAACGATTTTCTTCTCACACAGCCTCTCGTCGCCGACTTGTGTCTAGCGGTGTGGGTTCAGTGAAGTGCATGACGCAACCAAATCAGACTAGTTTACGGCACAAACATTTATTTGTAACTAACTCATAAGACAGCAGCGATGAGCTATTTACGAAGTTACATTACATTCTACTCTACTCTCGTTCACAGAGGTTCTCGGGCATAAGAGTACTGATACTCTCGAAATCAGCTACACCCTACATGATATATATATATATATATATATAATTTATTACTAAATAATATTGATTAATTGATTACATTATCTCCTAAGTTTAATTAATATATATGTGTGTGTTTAAATATTTTTGCTGCGGCCGATTGCAATAAAAAAGATTTATAGCAATCCCATACACAAATTTGCAACGTTCTGAGGATACTCGTTTTTGAGTTATGTGAGATACATACGTACAAAGGTCACAAAAAAATCCCTTCTGAATCCATTTTTAATCCAATCCGTTTTGGGAAAAAGAGTCCTTTATTCTGCGCGTATGTAATACGCAAAAACATCGATCAAATGAATTCAAAAACGGTCAAAATAGATATTTTCGTTGGAATATGATACCCGAAATTTTTCGCGATTACAATAATTCCTTTACTTCGTACAAGGAAGTTAAAAACAATATCGACTTTGAGAAGACTGCATTTCATATTTATATGTCAATATCCCCAGAAATGGGAGCATTTATTTTAAAGGTTATTTAAATAAAAAATATACTATATGTATATATATATTACTCAGAAAAAAACCCTTTATATATATAAAGCTGTTCCTTACATAATTCATTTTCAATAAAGCGAATTCTAATGCTTGAATGAAAACGAATTGTGTAAGGAACAGCTTCATCAAAAAAATAAGTATGTTACTTAATGTGTTTATAAACAGGGCAGTAATTTTAACGCAGCGAAATTCCCATTATTATTTTTGCGAATTTGAGACAGAAGGACATTCGCTCGGATTTTCGCGCTGATCCAGAATTTTGGCGGTGCAACCAAGTGGCAAGATATCGGATTTCAAATTTCAAAATTGTATTCGCGAATAATAAATGTTTCTGCGAATGTCAGAATTTTCCCATTATTATTTTTTAATTCTAATGTGCTGTTTGCTCTTTCATACTTCAGTTATTTTTAATAGCTACTTTTAATTATAGTTTTCACTTAAAACTTTTCCTAAAGTATCTCAAATTCGACACAAACGCAGAACTGAATACGGCGAAATCAAACATTAGCTTACTCACTCTCTAAAACACAATCGTTACGACTTTTTTCTTTCATCTTTTCAAGTTAGAAATCAACGTAATTTAATTAAAAATTTAAAAATTTCAATTGAAAATCAGCAAAATTTGAAAATTACCCCGTTGCCGTCCTTCGATATAGGAGCAACTAACCGTTAAAAAAAAGTCAAAAATGACACGTAGGGAAATAAATTAGAACTACGGTTATTTTTGAAGAAAAAGTTATTATTTTTAAAGACGTTTATATTACTTTAATTCTTTAATATTTCTTAAATGCTCTTTACTTAGAAAACTCTTCTCACAAACAGCAGCAGTATTCTGCAACTGTGAAGAAAGTTAGGAACACTTTATTCATATTATTATTTTAGAATTAACTGCAAAAGTTCAAAAGGACGGCCTTCTAAGTTCTCGTTTCGATTTTCCTAACAATAACGGAAATAAAACTTTGAAATACTCTTAACTTTAAGATGCTGCCCCTTTTATTTTGGATATTTGGTACTTACGGAAAATCCCGTTGACCATTTTTGCCTATTGAAGAAAAGACGCCAAAATGAGAAAAGTCTTCTTCGAACACGCTGGCTTTGGTGTAACCTTGATTACACGTGTTAGTTATTATTATTCTTGAGTAAAGACTCCTCCCCCCCCCAATCACGCATTTTAGAAAGAAAAAAAAAGATTAAAATTTGAGACCTGCCTACTACAGAAGAGCATGCTGTTGAATATTTACAGTTATGGAAAATTTCATTACATTCATTCCTATTTATTCTTTATAATAATGAATTTGAAAGAAAAAAGAATAGAAAGTTTTTTCCTGTATTTAGTAAATGGGGTTTTTTTGGTTTGGCGCCGTCTCTTATGGTCGACGGGATTTTCCGTAAGTACAGGTTATTTTTTTTTCAAGCTAAAAATCATCTTGAGGGTGTGGCCACCTTTATACCGGGGCGTACTTGTGAAGATTTCTGTTTTGGTAAACATTGGCCGACCAATAAAAAGCTGCCTGCACCTTTATAAAAGTGCCCCCATTTACTATCGGAATGAATTTCTTGTAAAAAAAACCTTTCTATAACTTCAGAAAGTAAAATTATATACATTTAGTAAATAAAAACCAGCATACCATATTTATCTGGAATGATTTCACATACATCAACTTGAAGTATTAAAATCATCTAGTATAGGATTTATCAAAATTTAGATATACAATAAATCTACTTGCCCAATGAACTTCCTTACCTTGTTTCACAGAAACGTATTTTCCATTAAAACCTGCAAAGGCAGCTTGAGGTACTGAATCTTCAAGAGAGAAAAGTTCATCCTTTGTCACAGTTTGCGATCGGGTACGTAAAACTGCCTTGCTGCCGATGGGGCTGACGTAACGTCCTTGTGGATCTCTGAGAGCCAAGTGGCCCCCGTGGAATTCCAAACCAAACAGGCACTCGCAGTCTTCAGACAGTTTGCCATCAGCTCGAAGATAACGACCGTTACAAGCATGCACAGCGTATCGCCCGTCTCGAAATTCCAAAGTGAATAAAGCGTCTTCACCCCACGGAGTATTCGCGTCCACTTGAATTTCATCTTGATCGGCGGATAACCGGGCGTACCTGCGCCGTCCCACCGAACGAAGATTGACCTAAAGGAATAAAACATTTTCTCAAAAACTACAAGAATAAAAATGCTACATGGAATCGCAGTGAAAATAGAAGCAAAACAAAACCTACAGTAAAAGAAAATAATAAAAGCAGTTTAAACAGGATGGTCCTCAAAAAAAAAAAAAAAAAAAAAAAAAAAAAAAAAAAAAAAAACACAGCCGCCTCCGGCGATAATATGACAAGATGAACACTATCTGAAGCGATGTGCCCAGAAGCACAGGAAAACGGGAATAGAGCTTTATTTGGTAACAGACAGAAGGACAGTCAGGAAGCAGCGAGTAAGGGGGCTAAAGAAACACCTTCTAGATGGTTACAGATAGTATAGTTTTTCTAGATAGTATTCTTCGAGATGGTACTGGCTAAGGCTTCCTTCAAAGGCCGTGGTACCAATATGGAACGCGGGATACTTTTTTGACCGAATTTGTGGCCTTGTTTGTTTGTCTGATTATGGCAGAGCCTCGAGGGCTATCTGCCTAAGAGGAGGGATGCCTTCGTGGAGGACTTTCTAAGGAAAACTGGCTCAAATACGCGTTACACATGAAGAAAACCACGAAAACGCCCATGCAGCCAGCCCGTTCGCGGGATTCGAACCTCGGACCGAATTTGTGGCCACTTAACTTCATAACGTTCATTTCGTGTATTATATTTTAGATCCCTTAATTTGAATCAACCGAAGTTTGAAATCTATTGCAGCTTCTAAACTTGGGTTCTTATGCTTGGTCATCACAACCTTATTCATACTTCACTTGCATGTGCAATTATGAAGAGGTATGCCTCCATAGAAACTTTTCTGAGGAAGACTGGCTCAGATTACACTTGCAGAAAATCTCAAAAACTCACAGGCAGCCAACCAATTCCCCGGGATCGAAGTACCACTGTTGAACTACGGACAATAAAACACACCGGAAAAACTTGAAATATTTCAGAACAAAATTCTCAACTACTCTCAAGACCTACTCTGAACGTCCCCTTGTTCGTAAGAAATTCGCCGAGAACTAAAATCGGCAGTATTCATGATTTCATCTTAATCCCTAGCCATAAATTGGTCGAAAAAACGCGTAATTTGGAATATCTCCATCTTCAACAACTCATAGACTACGATCCTACAATAGAAAGATCGGGAGTTCGATCAGACTCCGGAAAAAAAAAAAAAAAAAAATTCTTTGAGTACACTTGCCTGGAAATATGGCTTGTAAAAGCCATATTTCCAGTCAACCATAGACTTTGATAACCCGACAAAGCAAAGACCACCACTGGTTCAAGTAGCATTTCCTATACTTCGGAAGTAGCATTTCCACTACTACTAATTGCGGATTAACAGCATTTGAATTTATAAGCCACTTTTACAACAATTCTATATTTATGTATCCTTGCATTATCAATATTTTGAACGCAAACCTTCCCATACATGTTAACCTAGATTAAACAACTGACAACTTATCTTACTTATACACTTCGAAAACTAATCAATAACTAGCAGCACTTCCCACAATAGGGGTGATTCTTATGTTAAGTCATTCGATTATTGATTGATTTGTTTTTGGCTCCCCATGATGTGTTTTGTTTTTTACGTTTTTTTCTCAAATGACTTGAAAAAACTGGTCCGTATTTACGTGACACATGAGGGAAACCACGAAAACCCCATGCAACCAGTCTGTTCAATCATTATGCATATAATTTATTATAAAAACAAAAACTCAAAACTAAAAGTTTCGCGTTAAACAAGACATGCAATTTTTTAAAACATATTAAGCAATAATAATCAAAAACTGACGCTTGTCAAAAAAATATACAATCAAAAAAAAAAACACTCAAAACTTTAAAACTTTTGCATTACACAAGAAAGCATGCAATTTCTTAAAACATATTAAACACTAAAATATTAAGCGATCAAAACCGGTCTAACGCTTGTCAAGTTTACATAAAAATGCACAAATTAATTAAAAATGAACGCTGATAACTAAATAAGTTAAGCGTCAAAATATACATACTATATACAAAAACGTCACATGAAAACACTTTAAAAAAATTACACATAAATTACAAAAAAATTTACAATCGGGTGGAAGTTGCGGTTGCTGATCGGTAACACTTCCCCAATGTCTTAAACAGAAAAAAGAGAAAGTGAAACTATTGCCGCCGAACTTGCCAGCGCAGCACTCATCGCGTCCACCACCTCTTGACCACGGTCTTGCTTCACATGGTCTTTCAACAATGGGAAGAGGAGAGCCAGAATTCCCCGGATACATTTGATCCAAGCGAAAGCTTTGGGGATAGAACCTACGTTCTCGCCGATAACGACGGGTGTCAGAACTCCCCAAATCCCATTGCCGATAGCCATTAGACACAAAACGACCAGATAGTGAGCCACTGTCTCGCAACCTACGCCCAGCATTAAAATAGCGCCACCAACATTGGCCAAGGACGATAGGAAGTATTCCAAGTTCCTTGGAATCCGAGACTGCCCACTAAACAAGCCGTATGTGAATCGCATGACAAACCGTCATCAAGAAGCAGTGCGTATGTCCTATCGGGAACTCGTGTTCCTTCAGGCCATTCTCAAAAATGGACTTCAAGCCTGCACTGCCAAATCCGTGAGAAGCAATAGCCACCAACATCAACCACAACTCCCATTTCTTCAGGAGCGTCAACCCTGTTGAGTCCCTGATATTATGCCATAATTTCAAGGAGCTTGAAATTGGAACCTCGGGAATAGGAACAACCATTGCTGGCCTTTCTTCTTCCGTAGGATTCTTAATTTCCACTTCCTCGGAAATCGAAAAACTAAACACGCTCCCGCTTCGTCAGCAAAGAGTCGAAATAACAATTTTTCTGTGCCAGTCCACTAATGAAATCAACAAAAGCTCAAAAAATGCACAAGCAAGTGAATAATACAGGGTGCGCCAGGGAAACTTCCTATTTGAAACGCGTGCGTTATCTAGCGATATTTATTCTGAGAAGGGTGGAGTGACGCTCATTGAAAAGAGCGGTATCTAAAGTTTTATGTTATGTAGGTTTAGTACCGATCACGCAGTGAACGAGAGAGGAGCGCGCGTTCTCCGTGGAGTCGTACTTTTCAACGTACTGCATTTTCATTGAAATAAATTGGCAGTGGCGCAAAAACGTAATCCAAGCGATTTTCTTTCACGGAAAAATGTATGCAAAGCCGTTCTTGACAATACGCCTCGTGATGCCCTTGTGTTCTTTAGCGGTGAGATTCATTTTCATCTTTCTGGTTGCAGATACATTAAGCAAAACATGTGATAATGGACTGGCACGAATCCCAGAGAATTTCATGAGCAGTCTCTCCATACAGAACGTGTGACTGTTTGGTGTGCATTGTCCAGAATAGGCATCATTGGACCATGATTTTTTTGGAGAACATTTCCCTGGACGCCTTATCTCCTTACGAGGCGATTGTCAGTGGCCAACACGCTCGCCTGATTTATCTCCGTGCGATTTCTTTTTGTGGGGTTATCTGAAATCTCTAACGTCCAAAGACCCTGGCTCAACTGAAGAACAATATTCAAGCTGCTTTCGACAACATACCCGTTGATATGGTGGTAAAAGTGGAAAGAAACTTCAAAACTTGACTATCTCAATGCATTGACCAAAAGCGGAGGCCCCCTTAATATTATTTTTAAACTGTAATAAAAAAATTTTCAGGTGTCTCTCTATAACTTAAAAAAATTTTAACTGATATCTCTTATACTATTTGTGTTATTTATTTTTAAAATAAGATAGTTTCCCTGCCGCTCCCTCTGTCATTAGACTATGCATAAATAAACGAATATGATACTCTGTAATTTAAACAAAATAACTACATAATAAAAAATGTAGCAACAGTAAGACCCAAAACTAGGTGCATAACTAAAACTATGTTTTACCTCAAAAACTACGGCTCACATGGCCGAGCGACAAAATCGTTGAACACTGGTAGTTCAGACTAAGGTTCGATTCAAGGCGAATGGGCTAGGTGCAAGGGCGTTTTCGTGGTTTTTCCCCTTGTGTAACGTTTTAGATTTATTAGGTTATTTTGAAGCAGGAGACGTGGAACACGTGCAGTGCCCTCGCCGCGACTCGAACTGTGGATCTCCCGAATACGCGTCGAGTATGCTTCCAATTACACCACGAAGGCATGTAGAAAGAAAATACCCTGTAACGTATATACGAAACAGTTTCCTTTAGAAAGGCCTCCACGAAGGCATGCCTTCCCTTAGGCAGATAGCCCTAGTGTGCTCGGCCATAATCAACTAAACCTGAAACCAAAAAAACCTCAAAAATGTGATAACTGCGATAAAATAAATTTTTTCGCAATAGAAAAGCAAATTACATATTTAAAACCAACTCTTCCGAATCTTTCAAAATTCAGGTGCTTTCTTCTCCGACACTTTTTGGTTGTTGAATTCAGTAAAGCTTTGCATCTATTTCATCAGAACATTCAGTCAAAGAAATAGTATTAAACTTAGGCAAACGCTAATCCTTTGTGTGTTGTTTTCAAATTTTTCGATATTTTGAGCAATTTCTGCAGCCCAACACCTTGCCCTAAAAATGCTAAAATATATTACTTTCACCTGATTGAATAACTTTTGATGAATATCAAATTGAAAACAAAAATGCGCGTACAGTGAAATAGAAAGGGCCGATTACTTTTCGACGAATGACGATCTACGTAATCAACCGACTCCAGACCGATTTTGAATTTATAAATTTTCATTGCAACGGACAGTTGACTGGAGGAAACAATCCTATCACTCTTATTACGGATGTAATTTGTATTCTGCAATTTTTGGTAAGTTAACTATAATTTGTTTCGTAGTATAAAACACGTGTTCTTATTATTTTAATAACACAAAACTTGTATTTTCTAATTTTTTTATTTATTTTCAGTTCTTTTAAAAATATGACGACAGAGAACAAAAAAAAAAAAAAAAATACGAGCAAGAAAATAGAAGTTTTAATAATGAGTGGGAGGAGAATTGTAATTCTATGGTCAAACATTTAGCAATTTACGTCGACATTATGAAACTAATCATCTTCAATTTTATAATCAGTATCCACCAAATTCCAAATTAAGATCAGATAACCTTGCTTCTTTACAATGAAATTTAAATACACAACAGTCAATTTTGATGACCTATAGTAATTAAGCTAATAATGTGGCTAAAGCAAGTTTTGTTATTGCCTGGAATATTGCTCGTGCAAAACGCCCGTGTGAAGAGGGAGAGTCTGTTAAAAAAAAAACTTGGAAGATGTACTTAAAGTTTTAGATCCAAATAACGCAGCATTGCACCAAGTTGTTTCGCAAATTCCCATCTCGAGACACACAAGCGAACGACGCATAACTGCAATTAATACATCTCTTGAATACAACTTAAAAAGGGATTTTAAAAACTGTATTGCATTCAGCTTAGCCCTTGACGAATCGACAGATATCACATATCTTCCGCAATTGGCAGTTTTCATACGTTTTGTTTCACTTGACTTTGTTGTTAAAGAGGAATTATTATTAGATTTAGTAGCACTTCAAGAGTCAATCCGCGATATCGATATTAAAAATGCATTAGACTCCATAATGAAAACTTTTGATGTACCTCTTAATAAACTTCTAAGTATTGCAACTGATGGAGCTCCGGCAATGCTGGGTAAAAAAAGCGGTCTTATTGAGCTTTTAAAAGATGATTCTGAAATTCCACAATTCATACCGCTTCACTGCATAATTCATTGAGAACACCTCGTTACAAAATATTTAAAATATCCTGATGTTATGAAAACAGTGTTACACATTGTAAATTACATTTGCACCAATGCAAAAAATCATCGACAATTCAAAAATTCCCTTGAAGAATTAAAGGACGAAGAACTTCCAAATGACATTAATTTCTTTTCCATTGTTAGATGGTTATCTAGCTACAACGTATTAAATCGATTTGTAGATTTGTTTGATCCGATAGCTGCATTTCTAAAAGAAAAGAAAATAACCTATTCAGAATTAGACAATGACGAGTGGTTATAAGACTTAATGTTTTTGACTGATGTCATGGAACATTTGCAAACACTGAATTTACAATTGCAAGGGGAAAGATAAAAAAATAATATCTGACCATTCACAGTGTATATTTAGTTTTCATACTAAATTACAACTTTTTCAAAAGAACATTAAAAATACATTTAGTCATTTTCCTCGAATTAAAAAAATCGTTCCAATATTAAACAAACAACAAAACTCAACAAGTATATAAAAAAGCTAGAAGGAATGTTGACAGAATTCTAAAATAGATTTCAAGATTTGAAATATTTTAAATCGTCTCTTGATTTTTCTGAATCCTTTTGAAATTAGCATAATACAGGGTGAATTTTCCATTTCAAATATAATTATGACACAAAAAACATCTGGAAAATTAGAATTAATCGAGATGCAAGAAGATCAAGCTCTACAATTAAAATATAAGTCGACGCTTATTACTGAATTTTGGAAATTTGTACCAGAATCGAAGTATCCTGAATTAAAAAAGGCTGCTTTTTGAATTATTTCAATACTCGGAACAACGAACTTTTCCACATACTTTTTAAACACATATTTAATTGCGGCTCGCGAAAAATTTCAAATTTTGAAAAATGGCTCGGTCTATCAACGAGCTTGGCCACCCCTATTCTATACAAAGCTTTCGGCAAAATTGGAATATCTAACAAAACAGTAGAAATAGATGAAAACCTTTTTACGAAGTGTAAAAAAGAAGTGGGTAAAATATTGACTCTGTATTATACAGTCCTTGAGAATTTCGTAGAAAAAACTGGAGCAATTTAATGGGATTTCAGCCAGCCTTCATGGTCCGATGGTAATCAGCTTCATGGCCCGATGGTAGTCAAGTCGATGGGATAATACGCAAGTACCATAAAAAGTAAGTAAAAAAATTATAATTTATAAACTAATTAGAAAAGTATATTTGGCCGATTAATGCCATTGCAAAATGCAGCAATTCTTACCTGAGGTCGGGCAGCTAAATGAACAGTCCAGAGCTCCGCTTCTCCAGGAGCTTTAGCAGAACACAGAAGCTTATCGTCACTGGCGCCAAGAAAGTAACCTCTAGCCACGTTCTTGAGCGCCCAGCGACCATCCTCGTTGACTACAACACGGAACTTTGCACCAGCTTCCCTTTCTTCCGAGTCGCAAGTAACATTTCCAAACTGGTCTACAGCAAGGTACTTCCCAAGATGGCTTTTCAGACAAACTGCTTCCTCTTCGGCTTCAGAAGCAAAAGGTTCCAAAGACCACAGTTGCTTTTTCTTGAGGGCTGCTCCGTTGGCGTTCACTTTGCAACCGAAAGTCTCTGCTGTCAGATACTTGTAGCGAGAATTCAGAAGGCCAACGTGCCACTTGAGCCCATTGCTGTCCCCACCGTTACCATTTGCCATGGTCATTGTCACTGGAACGAAAAGAAAAATGTAAGAATTAAGTTAAAATTATTATAATTAATAACGGGACTAGGAGACTGAATGCATTGATGTCAATGCTTTGCTGACAACTACTAACGGCAAAAATAAAGGAATTTAACTGAATCGAAAAGTTGCTACACAAGTGCTAACTGGTTTGAAACAGAAAATGATTAAATAAAAGCTACTTTTTAAATTATAAGAATTTCTTCATAGACATTATTTTAAATAAGGACACTACAGAATGTACTAAAATATACCAATAGCTTGACAAAATTTAAAATCCTAAAATATTCGAAAAATGTGTAACGATAACGCATTGCCAAATTTTGTTATGCTTTGAATTTCTAGCAGCCCCAGTGTTTCGTTATCTTTTTTAATATTTTTACACTTTACGTCAATCTCATTCGAAACAGTTGTTTAAACTGGCGCACAATCATTCCAGTCATTAATTTTCTTGTTCACGATTTCAGAATAAATATAAGAACTTCGAATTACGTGAAAATTGTCTTAGGCAATTAGGGCAATTGTTTTCTTTTCCCTCTTTCGCTCTAAATTTTTACTTCCTTAAGTAAAAGAAGTACTCTAATCACGAAAATTTTCGGGTATCATACTTCAAGGAAAATACCCATTTTGACCGCTATCAAATGCAATTTAACGATGTTTTTGCGTCACATCTGTACGTAAGGACAGAATAAAGGGATCTTTATCCCAAAACTGGTTGCAAAACGGATTTAAAATAGATTCAGAAGAGATTTTTTCGTGACGTCTGTACGTACGTGCATACGTATGTATGCATTCAATCATCTCAATCTAAGTCAAAAATGAGTATCCTCAGACCACTGAAATTTTGTATATAGGACTGCTATAACATGCAGTTGTGCACCTGACATTTTGGTTGCAATCGACCGCTATATACCCACTTTGTTACTCGCTTCCGTGAGCTCAGTGAGCTTCTTATATGCTAGTAAATTGTGCATTTTTGCTCTAAAATGATTGAATTATGTTGTTTTTATCTTCTGGTTACGGTTTTTATGCCATCAGTTAATCAGCATGCAACAGTTGTAGAATTTTCAACAATTTAAAAGTTGTTTAAGTGCGGCAAGCCTAATTTTTTTTAACCATAGTTGCCAGATATGTTTACATTTGAAACTTAGCAAAATAGTGAATTAAGTCATTTTCTGCATCTCCTGTGTCTTTTTGCCGAGTGAGACCAAAAGTAAACTTGCCTGCTGGCCGAATTGCTTGTTTTTGTGTAGAAACTCTTAATTGTAAATAAAAAAAAAAAAAAAATTTAAATTAACTGTATTTGGTGTTTTATATTTTTCTACATTTTTGAATTTTTAATAAAGATATTTTGACGTTTTATGTAATTTTGCCTTGTCGCAAAGCGAGAACTTAGTTAATTAATAAGAAATATATCTCTAATAACATTCGGGGAAATAAGTTTAAATGAAATGCAGGGGAAAAAATGTGTATACGTTAAAATTCCATACAAGGAAATCATGTGGTGTGCACACCAGAATTTTTAAATTTATATTCGTATGCGCGATTTCTTTCAAATACATCACTCACCTTATTTAGCATGATATCTGGCCGTAAAAAGCTTTGAAGAAACATGTCGGGCCACAACAAAAAATTTACAGAAGTCACCTTTGACTGGTATTTAAAGCAGTAAATTATTTTAAGAAAGTAAGAATCTAAGAACCACGTTAAAGCATATGTTTAAATATGCTTACGATAAAAAATTTACATTATCATATGTATTCCATGTTCCTGTTTTCACTTCCCAAGCAATAACGGTAATAAAATTGAAATGCTTCTCTTTTAACAAGGAATCCTTCTTTATTAATAGCCCACCAGCGGCCGAGCGGTAAAGTCGCTAAACACTGGTAGTTCGGTCCGAGGTTCGAATCCTGTGAACGGCTGCATGGGTGTTTTCGTGGTTTTCCCCATGTGTAACGTGTATACGAGCCAGTTTCCCTTAGAAAGTCCCCCACGAAGGCATCCCTCCCCTTAGGCAGATAGCCCTAGTGTGCTTTGCCATAATTAAATACACCAACACCTTCTTTATTAATGTCACCGCGAGCATAATTCAAAAGTGCAAATCAGTATCGCAACTGAGAGAAGGGTTTTCAAAAAATAGACCAATAAGCTTCTATTGCTCTTGTGACGCTGAATATTTGAATCTGCATATGAGCGCATGCTGTCGTCTACGTTTTATTTTGCATTTGTTTCGCAGATAAATGTGTAATGTATAAAAACGCTACTATCCAGTTTAATAGAAAATCTCGTTGCGCTTGCATTTTATAACTTGTTTAATCGTCAAAATTTCATTTCTCGAAACTTATCACGCAACGATATTCAGATTAATGTTCGTGACATCATATCGCTCTTTATATCGAGGACTCAAGCTACAATTAACCTCGAATATTATGCACTTACTAACACCTGTGAATTAAGAAAATTTAAGTATATATATATATATATTATTAAGCTGAGAATACCTAGAAGTGTTCAATGAATCTAGTATTTTCTTATCCCAATTGCTTGCATTCCTTTGATTTTGAAAGTGTAAGATTCAAAATATATATTGTGAATGATATAATTATATTTATTATTAATATTAAAAGTTATACATGGATAAATTAAATATACTCGTATTCGTTACGAATAAGATTAAATTCATATTGTTTGAAAAGCTCTGCTTCTGTTTGAAAAGTTGTTAAAATCTAGGGTTGTGCAGGCAATACATTCAAGAATGAAGAAGTGTTAATGCGAAATTAAACACACTAAATGTGTAGGAATTAAAATTAGGAAAGTTCACTTTGAATAAAACTGTGCATTAGCTATTACTATAGAACCTCTTTTTCATATAGACTGCAATAAAAATGATGAGGCTTCTACTATTAACATACATAATTACGCTTATATTTGATCTAACTTCATATTGAAAATTTTGACAAGACATCCAGGGGTGCTTTAATTAGTTTGAACTGCAAATTGCGTGGCAAAACATTTTCAACTATCTTGCTTAAAGCGCGGTAAAGGTCGTGTGAAATGACAGAGATATTACTGGAAGCCCATTGATCCGCTCTAGAAGCCATTTCCTCGGTGGCGATACAGATGTGCACTTATGAAACATGCTCACCGTGATCATAATTTCGTTGACATTCGTAATTTTCATTCAAAAGTTTCGACGGAATAAAATATGTATAACAAGAGTAAGCAGCATTGAAATCACGTGAAGATTTCTTCGAATACTTTATCTAGGGTTAAAAAACTCTTTTCTTCTAAATTTAATTCCTTACGGCAATTAAGAATGTAATTATTCTTCACCCACCTCAATCTACGTAAACCAAAAAATTCCGCCCCTAAAAATATGCCGCATGGAACGGTCTGTCCCCTCTAGCCACGCTACTGCAAATAAGTACTTTTACCATTAAAGTAACAGACAGGGGCTTAGCTGGAGGGGAGAACATCTGTCCCTGGGGGCAGCATCCAAGGGGAGCCAAACTGATCTTACCATATTTTAAGATTAAATATTTTCCATTCTAAGCAAACAGGACGGATTCCCGAAATCTTCAGCTGTCCCCGGGCACTGAAAACCCAAGCTACGACTCTGAACAGAGAAATTATTAAACTATGCACTTTAGCTTTCAAACTTTCCTTCCTTGAAAAAAATTGTTTTGAGAAAAATATGCTGAATAATACAAATGAAACACTTCTACGCAGTCTGGGAACTACTTAGATCATAAAGTCAATATTTAAAATCCTCCACGCCTACCTTCCATGCTCACTGTCATTGTTAGACCAATAAGGTTTTTATATTAGCCAGGTGCATCTATTGTGGAACAATAAGCTCTTAGCACAAATTCAAACAACCACTGAAAAGGAAATCTCGGCACCAGATGAATCAACAGCGCATATAGCAAAAGGGAGTTTTTATAGATCCTGTATAAAATATTTAACAAACCACTTCGAATGACAAGAAAAAAAAAAAAAAAAAAAAAAAAAAAAAAAAAACTTATTGCAGGATAAATTTAGCAACTGAAATAATGTCGCAAAATGGTTAATTCTGCAAAAATAAAATTAACAGTTTACCTGAAGTAAGTATTAAAAACTTTTTAATATGTATTTGTTATATTCTACTGTTATTTAGTTTAGGCAAAATTTAAACTTACCAGAAAATTGTTATAATTAAGGGGGCTATGAAACTCGGTATAAATTTACTTGTGCATAAAGTGATTAATCCAAAAACTGCCTCACATTCACCTTACGTATGGGAAAAATCAACCATGCAGCCCAGCCTGTTCGCTTCGATTCAAAGCCGGGTCAAATTCCCAGCATACAGTGGTCCTGACCACTCGGTCATCGTGGGGTGGAATGAGAAGATACCGTACATAAAAAATCTAATATTTTATTTGATTCTGCAGATCAGTTAGGTCCAATCAATAAAGTGTTCATTATGCTTTAATAAAGTCGATATAAAAAGTTTCATCCACATGCAAAATTCTCGGAGACATTAGAGAATGCATTTATTGACTTGTGCACACACACATTTCAGTGCCTATTACGAAACAAACCGGCAGTTTCAAATTACGGATTAAGAATATTTTAAATTATTAACAATATAAATCGATTTTCATTCGTAAATTATTAAATTTTTTTTAAGTTATTGAATCTTAGTTTAGATTATTATTAAACACTTTAACTATTAATTTAAACTGGCAACATACACTTAAAAATTACGATTACTTACATTTTAGGTTCAAGTGTTAAAATTCCTAACTTCTTGACTTTATTTCTGTCACGTAAAAAATATTCTTAGGTCGACGGAAGAATATGTGTTTCGATTTGGCAGGAGCACTGCTTTCTGTTAACGTAGTTTTAATTACCAATAAAAACACACAGCACGTATGTAGTATGTATCGAAATTCTTCTCTTCTACTGTCACGTCACCATTACTTGCAGCTACTTTCAAAATTTGTCT